ACACTTTGCCATTCTGTTATGCTTTTTTTCCAGCGCATAAGGCCACCTAATGTCTTCAAAGCAAGTGGCAAGCCTTTGCACTTTTTTGCAATTTCTCTAGCAATTTCTTCCAAACTTCTACAATCATCATTAGACCTCCCAAAAAAAGCAATTTGACTAAACAATGACCAACCTTCTTCTCCAGATAACTGTCCCACTTTGAACAATTCACAACCCATGCTTACCGCTACTTTCTCCTTACGGGTGGTCACTAAGATCTTGCTTCCCTGGGAACCATTACTCAACAACAAGTGTTTCAGTTGATCCCACTTTCCATACTCCTCAGTCCACACATCATCTAGGACAAGTAGGAATTTCTTACCCTCGATTGAGGTTTTAAGGTACAACAATACATCCTCCAATTTGTCTAACCTTTCAATAGTATCCCTCAACTTCTCCATTTCTACAATAGCATCCCTCAATTTATCCATTTTTTCAACAGCAGAATTCAATTTATGCAATTTCTCAATAACATCCTTATCAGCATTACCAATCACAAATTTAAGAATATCTTTGGCAATTTTCATCTCATTGAAAGTATCAGAAACACACACCCATATTTTTGCTTCAAAATGAGACTTTACTTCCTCATTATTAAAGGCTAGTTTAGCAAGGGTAGTCTTCCCAATCCCCCCAATGCCTACCATGGAGATCATCTGAAGTTTTGGTCCTATTTCTTCAATTCTACCCTCACTTAGCAACATATTTACTATCCTGTCCTTATCCTCAACCCTACCCATCACCTCTGCTACATTTATGAAAGAAGTGGTTTCATCACGTTTTGGTTTTTCATTACTTAACACCTTAAACTGGTACCTTTCTCTCTCATTTGCAATAACATCCAGCCTCTCATTCAAAGCCTGTATCTTGTGTGCAGTTTTGAGAAGCAATTTCCCTCCATTAAAGCAATAGGAAGGAGAGGGGACGAAGGAACATACCTTCGACTTCGGTTCAAGTTCTGACTTGAGAATTGCAGTGCTCCACTCATCCAATGCATTATCAATGTCATAAGAGACGTCCTTGAGCTTGTCCAACCAATCTCGAACACTGGCCTTCCCCTTGTCCAGTTGCTGCCGCTCCGCATCCTCCAAAACAGCTTTGATGGCTTGAAAATTGCTACTGAGCTTGTTCACTTCTCCACGAACATTGATAACTCGTCTCACCTCTTTCTCTATTTCACCTAGAGCAATTGAAGTCAATTTTTCCAGCAGAGCCGAAACAACTGCATCGGCTGCCATGATTGAGATGAAGGAAAAGAGACACAAGTATGTATGCAGAATTGTTTGGTGGAGTTAAAATCGCTTAGGAGGAGATTATGTTTCTCCAGTTTTATAATGAGATGACAGCTACTGGTAAATTGATTGGCCCCGTTTCTTGCAATTATTGAACCTAGAAAAGAGAAAAAGGAGAAGATACGTGATCACTTTCCTTTTGATTTTTTCCATCTAATCTCATCCTTTTATATTTCATAATTGTGTCATTACCAAAAAATATGTATATTTAATAATTGTGAAATTTTCTTTCATTACTTCATCTGAATGGTCCCATGTGCATTCACATGGCGGTCAAGATTCCATCTAATCTCTTCCTTTTATATTTCAGAATTGTGTCATTACCAAAAAATATATATATTTTGTGAAATTTTCTTTCATTACTTTATCTGAATGGTCCCATGTGCATTCACAGGGAGATCAAAATTCCAGTAAAATAATTGGATGAAAGTTCCATGTGGTTTCGTGAAATTTCAAAAGCATAAAGAAGAAAGAAAAAGGGTAACAGCAATTGTTAATGCTGAAATTACTTAGTAATTAACATCCAAAGTGGAACACCAAGAAACAGAGCATTTCAACAAACTTCAATTCTCTCCATCTCGCTTTTTTCTTTATTTCACTAGTATGAAAGTTTTCCAAGAGTTTGATTTAATTTCACAATCCAAATGTATGTTTGGTTTAGACAGGAATAATTTATTTATTATTATTTTTTTTTATTTTGTAAAATTATGAATTCTATAAATAGGTATTAAGAAATATATTCCTTATAGAGAGGAGCCAAATACATATCCCTAAATCATAGTCTCAAATGTAAGAGGTATCTTAAATAGGATTCTCATATCAAAAATAAAAGAAGAAATATATAGTTTAAATATAAAATAAATTACTCTATTTATTATTATTACAATTAGTTTTAAATTGAAACTTTGCAGTTTGCACTACGTGTAGAATAACATAATTTCTAACAAGTGTAATATGTTAGTATACTTGTCTATAACATTTCCAAATCTCTCTTCCATGGTTAATTATTTTAAGAGATTAGTATTTATCTCATTTATCTCTTAAACATTAAAAGAAAAATCATTTTGAAATTACATTTTTTCAATAATAAAATATAATAGAGGA